TTTTAAGTTTACTAATTCAATGATTTTTTAATCTTACTTCTATTTATCTGACTTATTCTTTATTTTTAAGTAATTCTTTGAAGAAGAAAAAACATATTACAAATACACGTGTATTCAATATTTTTTTTTTTAAATAATATCAAACTTAAACAGTGTAAGAAATATGTTTTCTTTTAAAAAATACAGGTAAATCTGAGGCGAATTTTTAATTAACCTTGATTGTTATAAAAATAAATTATTTATCAAAACATCTATTGTTATTTGCATGTGGGAATAGAAGGAATAGTGATTTTAAAAAAGTGGGAATAGGAGGAAGACACCGTTTTAGTATGGTATAAATCAAATATCAGAATTTGAGTCAAATCGGTGAACACCAATTTGACAGCTATACCCATGAATAGTCACTTAGTTGACTAGATGCATATAAAACAACACAGTGACATAAAAGTTGCCTAGCAACGGTTCAAAAATTGGTCCTTTGTGGCATAAGTTTGAATTTGGTAATTTTTGAAAAATCTGCTTTCACATATGGTATAACATTACAATATAATATAAACATATAGATTATCATTAATCTTTGATAACGGACATGTTGCTAACCAACAGCAAATATTTCTTAAATTAAGGAGAACTACAAACCTATTGTTCAATGTAAAGGTCTTATCATGAAACCAAGAATATAAAGGGTTTTATAGGTAGGGTCTGAACAGTTTTAAAGTTATTTAACATTTAATGAAATAAAAGAAACATGTCATGTACCACAAAAGCAGTCTCATACTGGAAGTGAAAGTCTGATCAAGGAAATTAAGAATTGATATGATGTAGAGTTGGAGATATGAATGTCTCGTCGTATCAAAGCAATAGGTGGGGATATAAACAATATTTGAGATAATTAACGATTTAATATATAAGGAGGGTGCAGTAAGAAGGAAATTAACATATTATGCAAAAATATGTATGGTTTCGGGGTTGGACATAGTCAAACTCAATTATTTGACCTTGAAAGTCAAAGGTCAAGAACAGAGGTTACCTTCACTAGCTGCTATTAGACACATCATCGTAATATGTTGCACCCATATGCCAAATATCAAAAGCCTATGTCATAAAATATAAAAGAGTCCTAAAATCAATTATTTTCACCTTGATTTTAAAAGCAAAGGTAAAATAAAGGTCGTGATGATATTCGACTGATATGATATCTTATGGTTATACACATTTACGCCAAATATCATAAGTCAATGTAAAAAAAAAGTGTTAACCCGGACAAATTTGTACGAGAATAAAATCTTGAAGAAGAAGAAGAAGAAGGAGAAGAAGAAGAGAAATACTACTTAAACGTAATGTCTCTATTCCTCTCTTCTTGGAAGCCAGAGAAACGTGACAAACAAAAGTGAGAACTGAGTACTGCATAAAGTTGATACACACATTATTTTCTAAACAGCTTTGTAACTGCGATTTGAATCCATCTCAAAGCATTCTTTATTTAAACTTGTTTACTACAGATTTATCTTTAAGTAATCTCCTTTTCTTATTAGTTTGTTTTTTGTTTTGCTTTAGTCATTCAGACTAAGAAGAATATCCATGTTGAGCTTGGCCGCCTGACCCAATTGTAAACGGCATTGGGCTAAATTATATTATAATAAAAAAAAACCAAGTACTATATGTTTTATATTTTTTTCTTTCTATGTTCCAAATATGTTGTGCTTGTCTCTTTCTTTAACGACCATAGAATACAAAATAAACGTGTTTTGAATTGCATGCTTTGTATGAATTATTTTCTTTTCATCATCTAGAACAGTTCATTGCCCTTTTCTTACTAATGCTTCAAACACATGGCACATTTGCAATTGTGAATCGGACTACTCCCCTTTTTCTTTACATATTCAAATATTATGCGGTCTTGATAATGGTAGATATTTATAGCATCTGTTTATAGATTATCGTTGGTCATCTCAACGAGATTGATTTTCTCGCTTGAGCCGGTACGGCGAAAGTCAGAAAAGCAATCGAGTTGAGATGACCAATGATAATCTGTTTATCGCTATTTTACCTATGACGACGTTGTTAATTTCAACGGCACGTGCGCCCTTAGTTTCTAGCGATAATTTTTCATATCACTCTATTGTGCTGAGAAAGGAAATTATCAGTCAGTTAGATCAAAGGAAAATTTCGTAAAATAGCGATAAATAGAGAATATCATATGGCTTTTTAAATATCACATCGGTATCAATCCGAGACACCAATATAATCCCAAGAGCTCTGCTCGATCAAGGATTTGTATAGTACTATACAAATCCTTGGCTCAATGGATTATATATTGGTTGAGGGTTGATACGAGGTGTGATATTGAAAAAAGCCATATCATATACACTTTATTCTATACTTCAAGTAGATTTTTTTTCTCAAGCAATACAGATTAGGGGTTTGATAAAGCGGATAGCCACAGTGATACAGCACGATTGCAATTGATTTTATTACACATACAATTTACTTGTATTCACTACTAAGTATTTATTACATTGGTTGAAAAAATACACAACATTCGTACAATGTAGGAAAATATAAAATTTATTTGAAAAGATGATGAAGCATTAAAGGAAGGACATAAGAAAATTACGGCCTCTTTTTTACCTCAGGAGTCCAAGGCCCCACGCTATCACAATATTACATGTACAAGACTCCACCTTAACGTTTTATCTTATATAAACTTCTGACTATAACCTTAAGCTTGTCTTACAAGAATATAATTTAAAACAATATCGGAATTATTGACACCCTTTCCCACTTCCCCTACCTGTCCTACCCTAAATATAAACCGACAAATAAAAAATAAAATTTGTTAAAATATATTTGTAAGAAATGTCAGATTTATGATTTAAGGTCTTTTAAAGTTTTTGCCATATTGAAAATAGCGTATTCTGAAAGTGTACTGGTTTTTACTAATCTATATTTATTTTGTGTGAAGATGAAAAGTAAAGCAGAAAATATAAAAACAGGAAACAATAATCAAGAAAAGGAAAATAAACAGAAACAAATATTTAGAAAACAAAGATTGTACATTGTGAGATTTGAACTCAAAACCTTCCGATATTAATTCAGCTTGTATACCGATTACCCTATAGTGGTTATATGACAAAATCATCTCCGGTCCACAGTTCGTGTAAATATTTCGAGATAAATTCAATGAACACTATTAATGACAACATTAGAGCCTATTTTAAATAGCACCGGATTAATCCGTTCACCTGTATTATCATGCAGTAGCCCATTTTAGCGAAAATTTGCAGCCTTGGTGAACAACCTCACTACTCTAAAACCATGCACAGTAATTTTCACTGGCTAAATGATTAAGCCGGGTAGCTGGGGTGTCTAAATGTTCCTCGGGGGGGGGGGGGACACATCAATACTTAGCTGATAGGGGGTACCGCTTGGATTTTGTTACCCCACCCTTTTCATATAATTTAGATTTTAAAAATGTATACCTTTTCATATATTGCGTAGGTAAAAATTTTACCTTTTCCCATATTGTTTGGGTTTCATGTGGTGTGTAATGTAAGAGTGAAATATCAGTGTCAAAAGAGAGAAAATTGGTTGATAAAAACACAGACGGGAACACCAAGACAGATGACAGACGAAGAAGTTATGTGAACTTTATTGACCTTATCATATATTTCTGATAGTTTTCCCGACATATTCACATATTTTCAAGCTTGAAAAAGTGACCTATTCCAGTGGCACGTCCTATCACCTTGTTTATAGGAAGTGCCCCCCCCCCCCCCCCCTCGAGAAATGTTTGACGATAGATTTTTTCTTAAACTCCTGTTAAAAAAACTTTTGGTTCAATGTACTTTTAAATTTCAATATAAAAACTGGGAGTCACTGACCTTGTTTTTACGTTAAAATACATTAAAAATTAACGAAATCAGAGTTATTTTATATGATTTATAGGGGAAACTTGGTTCTTCCTTATCGAGGAAACATTAAACGATAGAATTGGTTAAATTTCAATAACATAATTGCTTTTCATAAATGCCACTGAAATACCAAATAAAAATAGGTGGTCATGATCCTTATTTTCTTTAAAACATAAAAAAAACCACACACACACACACACACAAACTGTCCTATTAAATTCAATATAATTATCTGCCCTTGATTTTAAAGGATTTTTTTTCTAAAAATTTTAAATACACTTAACGACACTTAATTTTTGATACTTCAATCTTGAATTTTCAAGGTTTAGATTTTTTTTTGTATACTGAATGATACTTGGTAAAATAGTTTTTAAACCAATATTGTATTTTTGCAACATGCCCGGAAGGGATGCTCAGAAAAAAGACACCTGTACCTCAATCTAGGCAAATTCTAGATATCGGTAAATCGAAAGAACAGTTCTTATTGATATTGTATGAACAGTGTTGTACTGTATCAAGAACCCATTACGTATGTTTTCTGTAATTTAAATTCCAGGCTAGAACGGACATGGAACACTTGAGTTAACTTGTTAGACATTGAAGTGCTGTTTTATCATGGACAGGATATTTTTTTATATTGTGATGTCTTGATACTATATAAAATTTATTCTACTTTAAATTAATTTCTGTCGCTAAAATGGGCATTGATTATTTCACTTTTTGCTAAAATGGGTTAAGATCTGGCGCTAAAATGGGTTATACTTTAGCGCTAAAGCGTCCGATTTTTTTTCGCTAAAATGTCCTATTAATGCACAAAAATGTCTAACGCCGATACATGAACAGTTTTTCTGAACTGTACTGCAAATCTGTATTTCAAATCAAGGATAAAAAAACTCTTCTCTCTTTAAGATTTCACGACTTGATTCGTCCAAACTGTAATTTTTACAATTCTCCATAATTATAGTCCGAGCCCAGTTATTGCTGAGGAGTCCGACGGGATTTTTAAGTGACTGGTTGTGGCTGTGTTACTCGATTATTATGGAACCATTACTGTGTCAGAAATTATTCATTTGTCTTATATTTTAGGTTTAGTAAAAGATGTCGAAATACTATCCACAAGAGGCATAGTATATGCCAAGAACGGGACAGCTATCAGCTTGACATGCAAAATCAATGTAATAGGAAGTATCCAGTTCATTCGTTTTATTCCTGATGAAAATATGCACTATCTTTTAAAATTGAATGTCACGATGAATTCTGAAGAATGCACATCTTCGATAAATATAACATTTTCTTGTGACCTCAAACATAAGGTATTCGTTATCACCTTGAGTCCAACACAGTATGATTTTGGACAAACTTGGACATGTAGTGCTTATGTTGACCAACAATATACAAACATATCGGATAACGTTACAGTCTGTTTAGAGAAAGGTAAGTCAATTGTTTACTTTCCTTAATTGCACGTTTAACTAATAGAATAAGAATAGAATTAAAGGCCCTTGATAGGCAGCATGACATTTATACATACAAAACAATACACAATGATAATTTTGTAAAAAAAAGAAAATAATTTTACATTGAAATGAAATATTAAATGTTCATATAGATATAAACCTACATATATTTCTTCATCTTATATAAATCATGCACATTTTATTCCAGGCAGGACCAGAACCATAAAATCTTTACAATAATCATCCTTATTAACTAAAGTATATTAATTCATGTTTCGACTAACATCTAAACATTTACTAATATAATTCACTAAATATGTATGTTATAGACAATTTTTCATAAATAAATAACTGACCCAACAAATATTGGCTCGTTTGAGAGGTCTGAAAAGTTATGACAAATATGTTTATCTCATTGAAAAATGTCTCTCCATCACCATTGTATGCTGAACAACTAATAATAAAGTGTTGGTTAAATGTACATTTCTTACAAAGCCTCTGATCTCTTTCTATATATAAAATTTTATATCTGTCTCTTTCTATTTTGAGATCATGGCACTAATTCTGAGTTTTTTCTCAATCAAAAATTGTTTAATGATCAAATAAATTTCTTTAGAAAAACAAGTTTTTGGTTGGAAATAAGTATCTAATTTGCTACTTTTTATCTTTTCTTTTTGTGTTCTAAAACCTTTTAATTTTTTTTGCTTAACTGACTTGATAAAAAAGTTAAGCTTTACTTCCGAATTTTGAATATTCAGCTTTTTAAAAATATAATGTATGGATGAATACCACCATTCGATATTATAAGTAAACATGTTTTTGCTACACATATAGGTATCAGTAAACCATGTTCCATATTTTTTTAAATTCCAAACCAATATTTCACCATTGACAATACAACTGAAAAATTTTAAGGTAATCTACCAAGTTCTCCTAGCATAGCTCAGTTAGAGGACCTTTTATTTACACATAAAATATACTTCATATATCTAGAATTGGATTTATCTAAAAAAATCATTAATGTAAATGTGCTGTAATAAATATTCATTTTCTTTCTGGCATGCTGCAGAGCTAATTTTGAACATACCTGTAATTTCACTGCTATACATTATAATAGGTATTATTGTATGGTCATATATATGTAATAGAGTTAAACATACTTCAATTGGAAGAAGACAAAGATCTTTGTAATTTAAATACAACTTTTCTTTTAGTGATTTTTTTGTATAATTCTTCCTTTCCTTGATTAAAAAGTCCACAAGATGTAAATTTTAAACCTAAATAAATATAAATGTTAACACATTCTTTCATACTGGTGTACTTATCTATTATAGTTTTTAATACAAACATAAGATTATATGTCCTACTTTAACTGGAAAAATCAATCTGACATGGATTTGTGATATCATTTGTTTCTAAATACTTATCAAGCCTTTTGTTTAGTATTGAATTACACACTTTTCCAATACACATGTTAATTGCAATACCTCTATAGTTTTAAGGTTTAGATGGAACTTAAGCTTTAAAAATTTGACAAATACATACTGATGACCATGTTTTAATGATAATAAGATAACAAATCACACACGGAAATCGTTGCATACCTCTTTCCACTTTTTAAAGTTTGGCATATATGCACGAGAGCACGAAATATTTTTGGATAACATTTTTGTACATGTCATTATACTGCATACTATTAAAAACCATATATACAGTACATTACAGCAAGGCCACTCCAATTTCGGATTCGTTCGCTCCAATATTTTGGAGTTCGAAAAAAAACTAGCCGCCACTTCCTGAAGACTTTCTGAAATATCGCTCCATTTAAATGAAATTAACATTTTACTTTTTAGTTGTCCTCGCTCGTCCCACAATTTACAAAACGTTACAATACGTTTAGTGTTAATTAATTATTCATCGCTCCTAAAAACAGAAGTTGTGTGCCAGAAATTTAAAAAACGCACCCTCCACCAAATTTCAGTCATATCTTACTAAAGTAACCCTTTTTGGGATAAAAACAAATTAAAATAAAAAATTCGCTCGCTAGCTCCAAAGTTTGTGCATAAGAGTCCAACGAACAAGTTCTCAATTATTAGTAGCTTTATTGTTGGTGTTACGAGCGATCTACGAGTTTATATGTCGTTGGAGTGAAATATTGCGTAATATCTACATATATAACTTGAAGATTTACGAGAATCACAATGCATATTGACCTTTTACTTTTTATTGCAGATACGGTCAATAATTCCACTGGTTTGGAGAAAATAAATAATCCCGGAGTAGACAAAGATTTTGGAAAACCTTCTACATTGAAAACTCTCAAGTATTCACTCATCGACATGCTTATAGTCGGTTTCGTGTGCATCACCACGACGGCTATGTTTACGTTATCACTAACTGTATTGTACTTTAGATACGGTAGGAGTTTTTCTTTTATAGATTTATAGATGCAGGTCCACAAACTGGAATCCGTATGAAATTAAATAGAGTAATAAAAGTGAAAATCAAACCAGCATAGACATAACACGATATTCCGGCGTCTAAAGTTAAATACAGTAAAATCCGAGTTCTATATTTTAATTTGTTTGAGTAAAATCTATATTTGGTTTTGCATACCTGATTTTATGACACTCTATATATGTATATAATTAGGTTTCGGTAAAGGGCTATAGGTGTAGATCATGAGCTCATGAAATGGGTTCTCCTTTTTATTTCAAAATTTGGTACCAAAGCTAAACACATTTTCTTGTGTTTTTATTTTTCGCTTAGTTGCTGCTATGCTTTATCATTTAATCTAAATGTTTTGCAGTTAATAAACAAGAAGATGCTCAAGAAAATAAGTAAGTTTCTTTATCTTTAATACACTGTGTTGAAATATAATTCCTCCAGAAAATCTTGAAAGGTAAAGTTGTTGGGATATGGAGTTTAGTGTATATAAAATTCATGCACGTTACGATCTTTACTTGAGCCCGATCTTTTATGTTAGAGGAAAATTTGACTAAAAATACAGGTTCTGACAGACGGAGTTAAATTCAGAAGTATGAATATCAAAATAAGGAGATATGGTATGATTGCCAATTAGACAACTATCCATCATAGTTCGAATGAAGTGGGGGCCTCGGTGAATCCTCGGTGGCCGAGTGGTCTTAGTAGTTACTACTGTAATTACTAGCCAGTCAACACTGAGGTTGTGAGTGCGGGTGCACTCGACTCCAATTTATTCATGTAATATTTTCCTCTCCTAGACTTTTCTGATAAATTCTGTCTATGCTTCAGAAAGGTATTTTTAGCGTTTTCCCAAAACGATCACGGTTAAATGATTTTTTTTAATATGTGACACGAGAATTGTATCTATTTTGCGTTCATCGCCAGACTAAAATGTATTCGATTTGCCATGCATTTTTTGAGATTGACACATTTCTATATTCAAATAACTTTTATATACTGTAAAAATGAAAGTTTCGGGTTAGAATATTTTGAATAGTAGATTCCTGAAGAAGCAGGGGTAAAGACAAATAAGTCAACTACCTCCCGTGCGACAGTAGGACTCTTGTTGAGGTGTTCGATAAGTTGAGTTACTTTGTGGACCAGTCTGCGTTTCTGTACTCTAAACACGGCAATGCCATATCAAATAGACATTTTCCTATTTGATTCAATTATCTTTTGATATTGCCTCGTGCAACTATATTTGGTGTCGCTGTACATTTCTCGGTAATAAAACTTGTAAATACAAAAAATACATCTTGAAAAATGATTTCAAATATAGGCCTTTACTTTAGGTTTATTTATCGGATTTACGATTACACTTGGCAGATATTTGTTCTCTCAATGTAATGAACAGCAGTTTGTGGTTAAACTTCAGGGGCGTTTCCAGGATATTTGAAAGAGGGGGCGTAGTATACAATCTTTCGCCGAGCGGAGCGATGCGAAAAAATTTTTGGACCTTTTTTTGGCTAAAAAACATAAAATAATTGTGAAATGCACTAATGTAACGGTTCCTGACTTGGAGCATGTATATTTTATAGTTAAAGTGTCAGGGTTTGATATTCTTTATGCCGAATTCTCTCGATTAATTGTCTATGGTATATTAAAAATGATTGGATGGATCTTAACAGCAGTAGACCAATAACGAGAAATTCCAAATTCTAGGGTATAGGGCGTTACTTTACAATTTAATAGTCCTAGGCCAGGATTTTATGAACTGGAGGCGTAATTCCGGTTGCCCTGGTATAGGGTCCATGGGGAATGTCAGAAGCTCCTGGATTTCAACAATTTAGCATCAAATTATGAAGTATTATAACAGACTCCATGATAGACAAATTGGTGAAAATAGTCTGACTTCGGATCATTCAAATTATGTATTGATTAACATGTGGATATCAAATCTTTGGAAGAAGTTGTAAATTCAGTTAAAAGGTTATATGAAATGGGCATGAAAAATGAAAAATAAATCTTTACCGATAGCTTTTTCTGAACTTTTGATATGTATATATATATATATATATATACCCGTTTTGTTAAAATATACCTTTTCACTGTTTTGGTCTTTTGGAAAATGTTGTTTGTGCTGTACTTAGACCCCTTTACCAAGAAATTTGTTTTGCATGCACACGTATAAAAATTGCGGTTTTTATCCAACGCAATCATAGGTTTGAACGTTGTTTTCAATTTAGTAGATATAAAAAGAAGTGGTATGAGTGCCAATGAGACAACTCTCCATCCAAGTCACAATTTATAAAAGTAAACCATTATAGGTCAAAGTACGGTCTTCAACACGGAGCCTTGGCTCACACCGAACAGCAAGCTATAAAGGACCCCAAAAATGACTAGTGTAAAACCATTCAAACGGGAAAATCAACGGTCTAATCTATATAAGAAACGAGAAACACTTATGAACCACATCAACAAACGACAACTACTGAACATCAGATTCCTGACTTAGGACAGGTGGAAACAGTTGCAGCGGGTTTAAACGTTTTAATGATACCAAACATTCACCCTTATCTGAAACAATAGTGTAACATTGTATTTATAATACCCCGTTCTAGATAGTCAAATCTGACCCCTTCCAATGCAAGGCGAAAAAAACATAACCCCATTTCAAACAATTTAGCTGAAGATGCAACCCCGTTTGTCGGAACATACCCGGTATCATATATATAGCGAGTATCCCCCGGGTAGATGTAGAATGGCCATTGGGGAAGTGTCACACAAAACAACCATTTCATGTATAGATTTACTTACCGCTTTGGTTGTTTAAAAAAGGTGTCCAAGTCACCCATCGGATGGGGGAATCAGTATAAAAAGAAATCAGAGTATGAGTTTAATTAATGAATATGATAAATTGCCATATTCAATACAATATAAGCAGATAACGCTAGTTTTTTTTTTTTTTTTTTTTTTTTTTTTTTTTAAAGGGGAAGGGGGGGGGGGGCGTACGCCCATTACGCCCTTACCTGGACCCGCCCTTGAACTTCATAAAGATCTAACGAAACACCACAATACATATTATCAATAAACATGCAGATATCTAATCCAAAACTATCCACCCTAACTTACTCTTAAACCTTAAAACTGGTCATTGAATTTCTGGATGTTGCTATTTGCATTTCTCAAGCTAATTTCACTCCAAAATTTATGATAAACGGGACGACTTTTCCTCTTCTATTGTTAACTTTTCTTTCCTTCGTGGTTATGTTTCTTTTGTTGCCTTTTATGGAGCATACTGTCCTCAGTTTTTTTACACGAAATACACGAATCATTACTTAAAACTTTCACAACATGCTTACAAATACAAGAGCAGTGAACCTGACGTTGATCCCGTGTTTCTTCACCCTTATAATATATATACCGATGATGTAAGAAATCTAATCGGGAGTACAAATAAGACATTAATAATGTTCTACTGATATCTTGTGTTTTCGTCGTCTGTGATTGTAGAGTAAAAAGAGGCTGGAGTTACCTAAGGGGCATTCAAAAATGATAAGCAGCAGAGAAACCTACAACGTTATCATGGAATAAAATGAAAAACGATGACAAGACAAACAGGTCCACAAAATACTACATAGAAAACTAAAGACTTAGCAACACAAATCCCACCGAAAATTGTCATTCAGATCGTTTTGTTTTTCGTCGTTGGATTGTTGTCTTTTAGACTGATTCCGACATCCCCCTTTCATTCAGTAATTTTGTTTTTGAACATTTTTTTTTAATGTATGTTCCTTTAATAAACCTTTAGCTTTTTCACTGAAATTTTGCATACAACTTTGGCTCGTTGAACTTGTCTGAAAATTGAAAAAAGTAATGCATATATCGCTTTTATTTTAAGAAATATTACTGAATAATTCTTTCAAAATAGATGTGCATTTGTATAGAAATCACATAGAATCGTCGAAAAACGTTCTTAAACTTGTCTTAAAATCATCAAATCAACTATCATCAATGTCTAGATTTCTCTTAATAATTGTTATGTTATTGATACATTAATTTCCGTTTGATTTATATAAAATAATCATATACTTTAAAAATCTGTGACATAGTCCATTCACTTGCATTGATCTTAGCGTCAGTATAGGTTTGAATGTCATTTGTGCTTTTATTCCCCGGGGTATCACCAGCCCAGTAGTCAGCACTTCTGTGTTGACATGAATTATCTTGATGACATAATTATATATTAACTGTTTACAAAACTTTGAATTTTTGAAATACTAAGTCTTTTTCTACCTCAGGAATAGATTACCTTAGCTGTATTTGGTAAAAGTTTTAGGAATTTTTGGTCCTCAATGCTCTTCAACTTTGTACTTTATTTGGCCTTTTTATTTTTTTTTATTCGAGCGTCACTGATGAGTCTTTTGTAGACGAAACGCGCGTCTGGCGCAAATACAAAATTTCAATCCTGGTATCTATGATGAGTTTATTTGTATATTGTTTGGTTATAAAGACTTGTCCTTGATCGGATTGACATAATGTCATTACAAAGAACCGGACCATGTTTGAAGCATCTTGTTTATTTTACAGGAGGAGATCTTATGAAGACGTCCACTCTGCCTCATCAGCTACATATGACAATATAAACTGATTGCATCTTAGTCATCTTATTTTCTGTACGAGTAGGTTTCAATGTAAACGTTTCCATACAAGTATACATTTTAAAAATTGTCTATATTTTTGGTCCCAAACAACTGCATAATTTTACAATACATTTTCGTGTTAAGTTAAACTTAAGAAAACTTATTTTTTGCTGTCTGTCATGTTTGTTTTTCGTTTATGGTTTGTTCATAAATCAGGCCGTCGGCTTTCTCGTTTGGGTTGTTTATTATTATGTCAGGCCGGGATTTTATATACATAACTATACGGTGTCGTTTTTATTAATTGCTGAACGCGTTGTGACCTTTACATCCACGTCACTTGCATAGTCTCTAATAGATAGTTGTCTCTGTCAATGGCAATTATGCCACACCTTCTCATTTTTATATTAACAACAACAAAAAATAAAACAATCAAACAGTAAAACAAACACACAAACAAGCTATAAAATAAAATAAACAAACACAAACGAGTGAAATAACTTTTCTTCTGAAGGTTGTGCTTTTTTTTCGAAAAAGTATACTGGAAAATGAAATTTTGGAATTTTACCAAATAAATGCCTAAACAAAACTGAAAAATTATATAGTGCGTATCAATGCAATGACAAATATATATTAGATCTCTTCAAGCTATACTGTAATCTCCTTAACATCAACTCAGAGTGTCACGTACATTATACGATTTCAAATGTAAGTTCTAACTAAAAACGTTTTCAACCCAGAATTATATTCGTTCATGAAAGGGATGGATCCTGACAACGGTACGTGCTTTTGGTTACGAATAATACAAAAAATAGACAACATTTTATATTGAAATTGAAAGATGAAGTAAATTACTATACATAAAGAAATTTACAGGGTATGTATTTTATCGTCAATAACGTTTTTGTTTGGTGTTTCTTTTAATAAACCTGTCACCATGTAAATGTTAAAAATGATATTATATATGGATAAAGAACCGTTGGAACTCCTTGTTTATTTGCATGTTTACTGGCAATATCAATAATTGGGTAACCTATTATCTTTCCTTGACAATTCTTTAAGTTCATATGAACAGAAAAAGTTGTGGGGCAGATATTTATTATGTCTCTATGTTAGGTAATCATCTATGAGACAGTAACTCAATATTGCAAGTTAATATCAAAAAGGATATCTAGAGGTCAACATTCAAGTCTAACGAAGGAGTCATTTTGTAATCTATACAGCGTTAAATGAAAAAGTAGTCACAGAGTTAATTAAGGCGACAGTGGGGTGGGGTGGGGGGTCTCAATATGGGATTTTGGGTACAGTTGTTCAGCTGGGATTTATAAAAAACACCCCCCATTTATATATTGAATAATTGTGAAATCCCTACCTATACATATATATTTCACAGCGAAATCATAACCCATTCAGTGAAGATCGTTGCACAACACACTGAAAAATTATGACCCATTGATATATCACAATTGGTCAATTACTACCTATTGATATATTTCCTCGGTAAAATTGCACCCCATTGATATATATGACGTATCAAAAAATGGACCCATTCCAGCGGCACATATGTATATACCTTCATATAGGAAGAGACCCCCGTGCTCTTTCTATGCATCTATACCCGCCATTGCAAATCAATACTCAGCCAAAATGTCACAATCTGGAATAGGACACAATTGGGTAAAATTACAGACGTGACGACCATACTGTTCTCTTAGACCACAAATGCATGTCGATATTGAGTTGAGACATTGACACATCGTATCGATCAACCATTTGGTGATGGTGACCGTAAAACTTATGTCCTGTCGATTTCTGTCGCTCTTCCTCATAACTTTGTTCGAGCAGCTTTTGTGTAAGGACGCACCCATGTTAGTGAGGTCCGTAATGTGTAAACACGAAAGAGCAAAATGTATTAGCTAAGATGAGTAAACGCCAAACGTGACAATTTGAAGGTTGATATCGAGGAAAAGATCAAGATATATAAAGCAGACCTTCTACTTTCGGTAGTATCCTTAACATAAAATTCAGTGGGATATATAAAATGAAAGCACTCATTGAAATGAGAGTTATTTACTGACGGGGCAACATCAATATATCTGAAAGTGAAATTAAAGAACTCTTATTGTATTTGCGAAGATTATGTGTGAATTCTGCTTCATACGAATGCAAAAAAAAAGTCTTCTAATAGTGGTGCACAATAGTTACACATTGGAATACCGACTTTCTGCTGAAATATCAATCCACCAAAAAAGTCGGTCAAAAAGTCCAGCATTTTGATGAAACAAATACACCGAGGATAATATCATCAAAATGCTGGACCTTTTGATCGACAGCATATCAGTTTAGTGTATTAAAATTTCAACAAACGGTAGGTATTCCAATGGGTACTAGTTGTGCACCCCTACTGACCAACTTGTTTTTGTACTCATATGAAGCAGAATTCATACAAAACCTCCTCAAGATAGAAAAAAAAAACCTGCAAATTTCTTTAATTTCACTTTCAGATATATACTGGTGATGTCACTCAATAACCCACATTTCAGGGAGTGCTTATATCTCGTATATCTCAAATGAACTTGAGATTAAGGATACTATCGAAACTAGTAGGTCGGCTTCATATGTTGATATTTTCCTCGATAGCGACACAGATGGACGACTACAAGCTAGAAACTATGAAAAACGTGGAGATTTCATCTTTTCGTTTCTCAGCAGAAGCATAACCTCTGCCCCATCGTATGGTGTTTACATATCTCAATTGATATGTTACACACGTGCATAGTTCTCACTATACAGACTTCATTAGCAAGGATGTGCTCCTTGCACAAAAACTGCTCCAACAGAGCTATGATCAAGAATGACTGAAATCAACACAAAGTTTTACAGTCGCTATAACGAATTGGTTGACAGATCTGTAATTGTACCTATTGGTTTTTTTTGACTGAGTATGGATTCGCATGACGGGTGATGAATGATCAGCAGGAGACGCTTGCCTTGTCGACGCTCCCTATCTCGCTCCGTTTTTGAGTTCTGGCGATCATCTCACTTTTTGCATTTTACCTCAATTTGTCTTCTTAATCGATTTGTGAGATTTGAACAGTGGTAAATTACTGTTTCCCTTTGCGTTTTATAGACGGGTTCTAAACCGGACAAAATGGGCTACTGAAAATGCATAGCATAGTTAAAATGGTAAATATGCGTTGTAAAGGAGCATCTGTTTTCAAATACATATTCACCGATTTGACTCAAATTATCGGAATGTGTCGACAACAACCCGGCCAAAAAGCAAAAAACAGCCAAAGGTCATGAATAGGTCTTAAACGCAGCGAGAAAATCCCGCACCCGGAGGCGGGCTTCAGCTGGCCCCTTTACAATAATATATGCTAGTTCAGCGAAATGGACGCCACACTAAACTCCGAAAAATATAAATGAACCAAAATCATAAACACACAAGACTAACAAATGCTATAGGTTCCTGACTTGGGACAGGCGCAGAAATGTGGCGGGTTAAATGTTTTGTGAGATCTCAACCCTCCCCGTATACCTCTAGCCAATATGGAATAAACAAACAAACTCTTTCTGCTCTTTGGTCGGGTTGTTGTCTCTTTGGCACATTCCCCGTTTCCATTCTCAATTTTAAACATCAATACGCACAGTAAAACTCAGTTAAACTCAGTTAAAAAGGAACTAAAGTCCGAAGTTAGTATAGGTAACAGAAGAAACTGAGCAAATTGACAATGATCAACATAAATAAACAAGGGACTACTAGCAGTTGCTGACATGCCAGATTCAAACCTCAATTAAACTGATCGAAAGATTATGCCTTCATCATATTAAAATCAAGCACAATCCCTCCCGTTAGGGGTTTAGTATCATGCCATCATAGATTATACGAGAAGAGCATTATAACCTGTATCATGCCAACAACTGATTTTAGAATAAATGTGTTTATTTCCGATGCAAAGACCCAATGAGTGAATCAATATTTAATGACTTTACAACAGTACTATCGTAACAAATCCCTTCTGAATAAGTCTGTTTAAAGGTTTGGTTAGCTTTTGAGGTGAATGACGACATTTGCATTGTGCTTTGTATAGAATAATAGTCATAATACCATGAAAGATGGGATGTGAAATACCTGCACGTTGATTTATATTTACGAATGGTGTCCTTATACCAATGATAAAATTTAGTAAACGTTTTGATAAGTTTGTGAGATCGAAAACCCTGGTGTAATTTTTCAGTATAAATACAGAGATTTCTTCCATTAAAATCAAATACGTTGTTACAAAAACGAGCGAATCGAACAAATTGAGATAAACACCATAAGATGTAACGAAGTACACTAGTAAGTAGGTCAGGCAGTTTAGTAGTGGAACAATGGCTTGAAGACAAAATAAATCTATATTTGTAAGGTGTTTTGTGCAGCTTCGGATGCCACTACATAGTTGGAACTTTTATAGTCGATTTATCACATATTAAAACGTATATGCAAATTACAAAAAAATCAAAAAGAAACAATACACATTGCATGGAATCGATATAATGTTTCAGCATTGCGTGTTTATTTTAGACTAGACGCATGCTAATTAACCATCTAGATTACTTCTGAAGAAGGAGATGGTCATATGCTGCTTTGATAAACATAAATATTAAGACTTCATATTTAGTAAATGTATTTACATTTGATTTTGTAAATTAAATACTCACCTTCAAAAATTTAGATAAAAGTCTGCTTGCAGCTCAGATGAATCGGAAAGAACGAAAAACTCCCTTAGACTACCCCAATGCTATGTATCATATCCGTGCCATTTACCTTCATAGATAGCATATTTAACGTATCTGAACTCCCCCGGCAAATTCGGAGCGAACAATACTGATTGCGCCGATACTAAAAGCCCACTTGCAGCTCTAGGGAAAAGATGTTGTATGGATCATGTGGATAGAGAGGCATAGAACGGAGGCAGTGAGAATAAATAAAATATTCTCCGACCTCTAAATCCAACTAATAAAATTTCAGAAATTAAAGCGGTGTTGAAAATGTTCCAGGAATAAGTTTTGGCTCTAACTTCATGCGCTTTAACTAAATTCTAGGATAGCATCAAATCTGCAGAGTATAAGTATCGAGAACTGTATGGGAAATCCAAGTAGAAATTGATTTTGCTGACAGTTCTTTTAAACTCTTTTTCAAAGGACCAAAAGGCCTATTCGACCCTTGAGAAGGAATATAAATCAGTCCGGTTCCTATATCAGAAAGATAATTCTTAGCTACAAAGATAGAAAGAAGAAAACTGACGACTTGTCTCCTAAGCCAAATACTGATTGATTAAATGTTGGTGTATTAAAGCCACTTTAAGCACTATTGGCTATTTTGTGGCGGACAATTTTTAATGGAGGAAGTCGGAGTGCCCGGAAAGAACCACCGACCTTCAACAGGAAAAATGACAATCCTTGTCAATTAAGATTGAAGTCGAACGCACCTGCCACGTGCGTATAGATGTTTTTAAAATGAAACCGAATCTAAGGGTTGAACATGATAATACTGTAGAGATTCTAGAACAACACTCAGGTCTAAAGGAGGCACAATACGTATCTGGCTAGGCCATTCGAAGCAAAAGTATTTGATTAACAAAAAAAAACTTCATTATGACAAAATTCTTGACAAGATAAATTGATACATTGTAGTTCTAAAAATAGCTGATATATAAACTTTGGTAGTTTAAAGAGTACTAGTATAACCTTTGTTTTCAAAGAGATGTAAAAAAAAATCAGCTACCTGTCGTAATGAACCAATGTTCTTTGACAAACACAAAGAACTGAAGTTTAAACATTTCGAGTCATATACAGCACATGTGGATTGCATGATTGCTACTGTGAAACGCTCGATTGTATTGTCCTTTCTGTCTGAGGAATGACCTGGTAACAACCAAGCGTGAAGATTTAGTTACTCCAACTCCAGATAAAACGTCTA